AGGTGGTGGCTGGGCTATGTCCAGGGCTAAAGGGTCCCCATCAGCCACCACTTTCTGTCTGGCCTCTGACCTTTACTCTAGAGAGTCTAGAAGCTTCCAAAAGCTGCCATTCCCACCCCCAACCTCCACCCCACTCCGCCTTGCAGGAGCAGTGCTGGTTTTAGGGCTACCGAGCTGACAGGTTCTCTGCCCACATGGCTGCCAATTCAGGGGCAGGGGGAGAGAGGAGATGGTGCCGCAGGAACAGAGAACGGCCTGGCCACGGCGTGCCCCGGAGGAAATGGGCTCTCTGAGCAGCCCCCCTCCCCCTTTTCCTAAGCTCATCATGGAAGGCCACCAAGTTCAAAGTCAGCCACAGAGCTTGCGGCTCCGTCTTTGGTAAAAGGAGGTCTCCATCCATAGTGAGTTTACATCTGGAAGCCGAGGCTCTCTGTGGGCAAAGAGCCGAGAGATCAAGCCTGAGTCTCCTTCTGCCCAGCCCTCCAGTGCGATGGCAGCAGGCACAGCCCGTCCGGCGTGCCCCGGAGGAAATGGGCTCTCTGAGCAGCCCCCCTCCCCCTTTCCCTGCTGCTCTGAGCTGTGGTCAGAGCGTGACAGCCACCGCCACACCACAGCCCCACGGGCATCAGAGGGACGGTGGGCCACGGAGTTGCCCAGTCCCCTGCAGCTGGGCACCGAGGGGACCAGATCATTCAAAGCCCATGGCTGCCTCTCAGTGTCCTGCTGCCTTGGGTTCCAGCCTCTTGGGTTCCAGCCTCCTGGTTGTCACCTGCTGCCTGTTCCACCTTTGATGCCCACACACACACAGATCCTACAGAATTTCCCACCATAACAGGCAGCTAAGGAATGCTGGTCCCATGTCTTAACACCTTTATTTTTAATTTTTTTTTTTTTAATGAAAGAGAGAGAGAGAGAGAGAGAAATGTTGACTAGTTGTTCCACTCATTCATGCATTCATTGGTTGATTCTTCTATGTGCCCTGATCCGGGATAGAGCCCACAACCTAGACGTATCCGGAAGATGCACCAACCAACCAAGCTACCCGGTCAGGGCCAATGTCTTTACCTCTTTAGACCCTACCCAGCAGTCACCCAGAAATGGGGAGACCCACACCGATCTCATTATACACACACACACACACACACACACACACACACACACACACACCTGCTTCTTCCTTGTAACCAAGAATGTGCTCAAGTGATGAAGCACCCGCGACTCCAGCCCCTCCCAGGAAAGCAGGGTGACTCTGTTCTGTGCCAAATAAGCACATCGAAAGCTCGGGCCGAAGCTACTGCCAGCTGATGGCAGGTCTAGTGCGGGCATGCAGTGGCAGGTACACAGAGCTGCAGGGAGCATTATGGGAGGATAAATCTCCAACGAAGACATTTTAAACTACTCGTTTAGCAATTTATATAGAGAACTGGACACAGGTCTCACTCAGTTATGACTCGAACGCAGAGCTGTTCACAGACCAGCCAAAGATAGGGTCTCAGAATTTCTCAAATGCACATGCAGGCCATGTTTGGGACATACTTGTATTAGAAAATCTCTGTCTGTCATTCCGACTTAACTGGGCGCCTGCACTTTATCTGGCAGGCCTCGGTAAGGAAGCATCCCCGCCTGAACGCCTGGGCCAAACAGGACACAGCTGTTCCTTCCCTCCTCCCCGGGGGCCTGTCCCGCGATTGGCTGGGCTTGGGGACAGGTGTATCTGACTTCCTTTGGAAAATAATATCTTTCTGTTCTCTGTGCCCTATTCGGAGTGGCTGCGTTTTTCCCTCACAGGCCCAGCGAGCACGACTCAGACGTCAGCGCTGTCCTCACTGTCGTCCTGGCCACGGAGTGACAATCCGCCCCATGGCAGCTGCCTGGAGCAGGGTGACTCAGGCCTTCCTCGGCAAGATCTGGCAAGTCCCTCTCTGCTCCGTTTCCCACTCCCCCAGCCTGTGCCCCGAACCTCTGCCCACCCTGCTGTCGCCAGGCCTCACCAAGCTCGGGATGGGGCAGGCACCCACTGGGTGAGCAAGGAGGGCTTTCCGCCCTCCCCTACAGAGCCCGGAGCCCAGTGCCTGCTGACAGGTTGGCCAGGGCCCTGAGCAGGGGTTTCTGTCGTGGCCTTAGGGTCAACGGGGTTCCCTGGCACCCAGCTGCCCACAAGCGGCTCTGTGCATGGTCCTGAGTCCCCACTGGGTCTTGGGGCCTCAAAACTCCCCCCTTTGCCCGGCCAGGATTGCCCTGGAACTCTCATCTCCCCCAAAATACAAAGGTAACCCCCCCACAAATAAGCTTTTGGCAATTGCCTGGGATTTCGGGGTTCTGCTCTTGCCATGGAGGAGGCCCAGAGAGCCACCTGACCCCAGTCTTAAGCCATACCTCCCGGTTTTCTCACGCCAGGCTCGGCCTTCTCACCCGCGGGCCAGCTCTTCCTGCGCGGCTCGGCTGGCTGGCAGCTCCCTCTGGAAGTCCAGGGCCTCCTGCTCAGATCCACTCCGTCCCCTCTACCCCCACCCAGCTTTTATGGACAACCCCAGCGCTGCCCCTGCTCTCCCCGGTGTGCTAAGAGAGCCTGTGGTCTGTGGGAGACCCACAGGCAGGTTCCCCCTGAGGATAGAAGCTGGTACCTCGGCCTCCCGCGTCCCCTGGATGCAGGTACCACTTAACCGAACCACAAAGCCGGTTTCCCCGTTTGGTTGGGTTCCACCAGCTGCGTTTACAGGGGCTGGTGCGCAGTGGGTCTCGGGGTGTCTGCCAGCCGGACTGCGGGCTCTGGGTTGTAATTAACCACAGTTTATACTGCGGAGTCTACTTTCAACCCGGTCTGAGAGCCTGGGATGAAAGAAGCCACGGGTTTATTACGGCTGTCTATAAAAATGGGCCAGAAGAGTGAATGCCAGCTCTCGGCCAACTCCCCACATCTCCACCCACCCCCAAGGGCAGCACCCACCCAGCCATCACCCACCCAGCCATCAGCCACCCACCTGGTTCCCCCCAAACTCTGGAGCCCCCCGGGGAGCTGCTCCGAGGGAAGCAATGCACACAGCCTGCCCGCTCCCGGCTCCGAAAGCTCAGGAACAACGTTCACCGGGGGTCACACCCCCAGGAACCCCTGAGACGCACGGACCCAGGCAGGGAGGGCAGAGGCCCCCGCAGGGAGGCTGGCGCAGTGCCATGGACCACAGCCCTCCTGGGATCTTCCTTTCCTCTCTTCCCCTGGCTCCCTCAGGTGTGTGTGAGTGCGGACACTCATGTTGTATGCTCCTGCAAGGGATTCCAAACTAGAGGGGAAGGGATAATGTGCCCAGCACTCTGTACACGGCTCCTTTCTTTCTTTATTTCACCTTGTCTTTACAACAACCCATGAGTTGGCACCATTGTGCCCATTGCACAGATCTGAAGGCTGAGATTCCCCTTGCCAGGAAGACCTAGGCACCCTGACTTCCCACCCTAGGTCTTCTGTGGACTCTCAAGGCTGTCACCCAAAGCAGAGGGATCACAGGCACCCAGGGGGGCCCCGGGGCTGCTGCTCTGTCCTCAGCCATGCCCTGCTCACCCCCGTGCCCAGCTGCCCAACATGAGGCCATGCTGGGACCAGGCCAGGGGAGGACCAGGTCTAGAGCCCTGTGTCTCACTCTGTGTCCCAGCAGGTGGCCTGAGAGGCACTGGCCTGCTTTCTGGAGTGAGCCTGCCCCCTGCAGGACCCAGGCAGGACACACAACCCCAAGTGGAGGGCAGTGCAGAGGTGCCCTGGCCTCATGCATCTGGGAGGAGCCTTGGGGAGAGGGAAGTGGCTTTTGCTGAGGAGGATGACAGAGCAGCCAGGAGTCACCTGTGCGAGGCACCTGCCCCTCGGAGGCGCTCCGCTCTGGAGCTCCAGGGCACTGGGAATGAGGCCATGAGGATGCTCTGTGGTGGATGTCTTTGTCCCCTGAGCACTGGGCTTAGGGGAGCCTCGTTTCTCCCCCTAGCTCCCCAGCGCTGAACACTTGGCGCTGACAAAGGACCAGCCACGGTCTTGGAAAGCATGTTGGGACATGGACCCCAGCTCTGAGGCTGGGCAGGCCACTGAACCAGTCTGGACCTCAGCCTTCAGATCTGTACAATGGGCACAACGGTGCCTACTCACAGATCATTATAGAGATGAAATGAAGAATGAAAGGAGCCCTGCACAGAGTGCGTGCTGGGCACATTATCCCTTCCCCCTGTGTTATAGCCCCCTCTAGCCTGGAATCTCTCGCATGAACATACAACATTAGTGTTCTCACCGGCAAACAGGCATAGACAAGAGGAAAAAGAGAAGCGTGCACACTCCAGGGTCCAGGAGACCAGTCCCGGTGGAAGGAGTGGGCTGAGCAAGAGAAGGCTATGAGTCTGAGCTGGAACACCCAGAGGGGCAGGAGGGGAGGGGGCAGGGGCAGGGGGAAGTGGGGAAGAAAGGCAGCACACAGGTCGCTCACTGAGGCCTGTGGCTGCTGCACTGAGTGGTTGGGAAGAGCGGGACCGTGGGGCATGCTGAGGGGCACTGCAGGCCGGAGGCCCATCGCGTCTGCAGGGAGCAGGGAGGCAGCAGGCTGGGGCTGGGGCAATGGTCCTGGGCCTCCTTCTCCCCAGAGCAGCCCTGCAGTGGCCGCTCGCAGCCCGCCCAGCACCCTCCATACCTCTCCTCTCCCCATTAACTGGCTCAACAAGACCCCCCCATTGCTGCCTTATTACTGGGCACCCTATTGGGTGCTGAGCTTCCTCACGTGCCCCTGCATGTCTCCAGTTTGCCCATGTCCATGCTTGCAGGGCGCCATCACCCGTGAGCCCCCAGCGCCCCTGTGTTTGCCCTTGTTGCACTGGGTGCTATGGGACGCCCAATGGGAGCTCCCTGGGCCGAGCTTGTCGGAGTGACCTGCTCACCCATAGCCCCAAATCAGGTTCTCAGCAGGTGCCACCCACAAAAACCAGGCCAGAATCAAAAATACGTTTGCAAAAAGGCAGGAAACTTTATTGAATTCTTTTGAGCAGAGAAGCGGAGAAATCAGAGCAGCGAGGTCAGGAGGAGAAGGAAGCCGACCCAGAGGGAAGAGCAAGGGGCTCCCGCCCGGGGAGAAGGGGGCCGGGTCCTGGGAGCGGGGTGACTGAGCTCCCGGGGTCCCCCCCTCTCTCCTGCAGGACCCTTCCACTCTCTCCCCCTCTGGGTGCTGAAGACAGAGGGAGGGAATGCCGGGCAGGTTTAAGGCCGACGGGTGGTGGTGGCCTCAGACGGGCGGCGAGGGCCAGGACCAGTGGGGCTGCCGGAGCTGGTGGTTCCGGAGCTGCTGATCCTGGTGGTTCCTGGGAAACAAGGAGGCAAGAGAGGCTCAGGCTGGAGAAGACTCACCCTGGGCCAGAGCAGGGCCCCAGGAGACCCCAGTACCACCCCCCCCGCACTGGTCAGTGAGGGGTTCGTTAACGGGACTCTGGGACTCTCCCCCAAAGCCAGCTTTCCCCAAGACAGCCGGTGGCTCCACGGGAAGAGCCATCTATGATGAAAGGGAAGCCGGTGAGCAGATGCCCAGGCTCCCCGCAGCCCCACCCCTTCCCCTGGGGAAGCCCAGCGCTGCCCCTGCCCGGAGCAGGGGCCGCCCCAGCATGTCCTTACCTCCGGAGGAGGGGAAGCCCGTCATCCTGGAAGAGAGGAGAGGCAGTGTGAGCACCGAGGCAAAGCACCCTCCTCACAACTACTCAGACCATCGTTCGGAGCCCTAAGTGGGGCTGTGTCACCCAATTGTGCCCTCAGCCCAGGGGCAGCAGCAGCAGGTGCCTGCCAGGTCTGTCTGTCTGATTGTGGAGACCTCAGGAGAAGGTACCATTGGCCCCCAAATGCAGGGCATTTGCCAGAAGCTTCGTCCTCCCTCTGGTCCACTCAGCCCCACCCCCACTCCGCTCTGAGCCCACAGGATGGCCTGGTCTCTGCAAATGGTCCGAAGGCCGTTACATCGCCTTTGCAAGCACTTTGTTCTGCCGACCCCAATCCAAGCTCGTATTTTTTCCAATAGGAGGTGTTCCCTCCACGGTCCCTAGTCCTGCTGGTCCCATTCGGAGGCCTGGATTAGAATGTCAGGCATGGGCTCCGCAGCCTGATTCCAGAGGACAGGGGAGCTCTGGTCCTGGGTCTCCGTCCAGTGGCTTAAGCTCAATCAGGCCTCCTCCTGCCTGGGACCAAGGCCCTGACCCCTAAGACGCTGCCTGCTTTCCCAGGAGAGAGGCCGGCGGGGACCTACTTGGCGTCCTGGCCCTCCAGCAGGCTGCGGTAGGTGGCGATCTCCTGCTCCAGCCGCGACTTGATGTCCATGAGCTGCCGGTACTCCAGGTTCTGGCGCTCGGTGTCAGCGCGCACCTCGCTCAGCTGGGCCTCCATGCTGCTGATCAGGTCCTGGATCTGGACCAGCTGCGTGGCGTAGCGGCACTCGGTCTCGGCCACCGTGCTCTCCAGCCCGGCTTTCTGGTGAGGCAAGAGAGAGGTGGTGAGGGGAGCCCGGCCCGGGGGAGGCCCGGAGGCGGTGGCCGCTGGGCAGGCAGGGGGCTGCAGGCAGGGGGCTGCAGGCGTGTACCATGCTGAGCTGGGACTGCAGCTCGATCTCCAGGCTCTGGAGCGTCCGCCTGAGCTCCGTGATCTCCGTCTTGCTGGTCTGGATCATCTCTGTGTTGGAAGACACCTCCTTGTTCAGCTCCGCGCTCTGAAAGGCAAACAGGGGGGAGGTGACGGAGAAGTCCGGGTGGCAGGCTCGGCACCCCCAGGCCTCTCAGGGGAACAGGGCCGGGTACCTTGCTGTGGAACCATTCCTCGGCGTCCCGGCGGTTCTTCTCGGCCATGGCCTCGTACTGCTCCCGCATCTCGGCCAGCACACGGGTCAGGTCAATGCTCGGGGTGGCGTCCATCTCCACGTTGACCTGGCCTACCATCTGGTTGCTGAACTCCTTCATCTCCTGTGGGGATGGGAGAGGAAGAGGTTATGAGGCTCCTCCTGTTTCCTCTCCTTGGTTCTGGATGCTACTGGAATGTTCTGGAAACCCACAGTGGAGCATAGGGTCTGGCCATGGCATTGGGCTCCCCTTTCTCACTGGAGGTGGTGCACCCTGGCAGGCCCATGCCCCCTCTCACCTCCTCGTGGTTCTTCTTCATGTAGGCCAGCTCCTCCTTCAGGCTCTCGATCTGCATCTCCAGGTCGGTCTTGGCCAAGGTCAGCTCGTCCAGCACCCGGCGCAGGCCATTGATGTCGGCCTCCACGCTCTGGCGCAGGGTCAGCTCGTTCTCATACCTGAAGGATTTTTTATTATTATTATTAAAAAACACACACACACACACATGAGTGGTATTAGACATCCCCCCTGGACTCTGCTGCTTCTCTAAGACATTGCTCCTGGGAAGCTCCAATGTCATGGTTCGGATGAGCGTTTGTCTACAAGAGACTGCGAGGCACGGGGAAGGGAACAACAAACTCACTTGAGCCTGAAGTCGTCGGCAGCCAGCCGGGAGTTGTCGATCTCCAGGATGACCCGGTTGTTGTCTATGGTGGCCGCCAGGATCTGCAAAACACAGAAGGTCACCGAGGGAGGTCCCAGGAGCTGGGGTCGGAGGGCTGAGAGAGCAGGGGAGCTGGACCTGGGCTGCTTCTCTGTGAAGTGAGGGGCTGGCCCAATCCCTTCAGTTCATTCGCATCCTACAGCCTGCATTCCGGTCAGGATGGGGAAGATAGCGGAATTCGGAAATCGGTGCAGGGAGGGGAACGAGCCCTCCAAGAAGAGAACATCTTTGGTCAGCCAGGTCTCTGAGGCCTCAGACTAGCGACCTCTCTAGGTCACTGAGAACCTCTCCCTTAGCTCAGGAGGCAGCCCACGTGCGCCAGAGCTGGTCTGCCGCTGAACAGAGGGGAAACCCAACCAATAGATGCATGCATTTGGATTCCTTGGCTGAGCTTTTTCTATCCTGAAGCCCTGGAAACCCACCCCCACAGAGCCGGGACTCAGCCCAACAAGCTGTCCCAACAAGTTGGCACCACCCAGGATGCATAGGCTTGGAGGGAAGCTCAGCTTGGCCCTGCCGAAGCCTCTGCCTCCATCTCCCCCACCCCTTCACGGCCAATTGCGTCTAACCCTTGAAAGGGGCCCCTACAAAGGAAACCAGTATTTCCAGCCCCGTGAGCGAACTCGTCTCCATTTCTCTATTGACTTTAGTCATTCTTCGTGGCTTTTAAACCTGTCATGGTGTCCCAATAACTCAGTGGGTCAGGACCCTGGAGGCTGAGTCACTAATAACATAACTGTTTGGAAAGCAATAAAAACGTGGACACGAGAACGAACAACAATAACATGGAGAGTGGAAGAAAGTGCACTCGGGGTGCTACGGCATGAGATAAGCCCATCACGAGTGGAGACACTTGGTAGTAAAAGACTAGAGTTTTTCCCGGCGGGAAGGGTGTGAGAATTCCACCCGCCCTGCATCTGCTGGTCCCCCGGGGTGCTGCGTGTCCTGGCCTCTTCAGCTCTGCCCTGCACTCAGGGACCCTCCTCAGCACTCAGGGGCTCACCTTCTCCCGCAGCTCCTCGATGGTCTTGTAGTAGTGGCTGTAGTCACGCTCCGGGCTGGCCGGGCTCTGCTTCTGGTGCCAGTCCCGGATCTTGACCTCCAGGTCGGCGTTGGCCTCCTCCAGGGCGCGCACCTTGTCCAGGTAAGAGGCCAGGCGGTCGTTGAGGTTCTGCATGGTGATCTTCTCGTTGCCGGAGAGGAGGCCGCCATCGCCACCACCAAAGTCACCACCAAAGCCACCGCCGAAACCACCGCCAAAACCCCCACCACAGCTACCGCCGAAGCCACCGCCAAAGCCACCGCCAAAGCCAGATCCAAAACCACTACCAGCCCCTCCACCGAAGCCACAGCTCATGCCGCCGCCATAGCCCCCGGAGGACCCCCCGGTGACGAATCGGCTGGAGCAGGAAGACATGCCGCGGCCGCCCCCCAGCTGGCATGCGCCTCCGTAGCTGGCGGAGGAGTTCTGCAGGCGAAGGCTCATGATGAGAGAAGATGGAGAGCAGGTGCGGGCAGGAGCTTGACTTGGCCTGGTACGAGGATGTGGCTCTTCCCCCAGTGGGTGCCTTTTATACATCCTCCGCAGAGGTTGGACAATGGCCCCATCGCCTCTCCTCCCATCCCCACCCTCTGATGGATGCCAGCTGGGCGTCTCTGTTTCCCACAAGCCCAGCTGCCTCTGCTTTCCAGGGTGGGTTGTGCCTGGAGGGAAGGGGGAAGGTGCTGGCTTTTTTTTTTTTTTTAAACCCTTGACAAAAGGGATGATTCAGAGGGAACGGTGTTTTGCTTAGGACTGCCCTTTGACAGCTGAATTCTGTTTCACCCCTCCACTTAAGGAACTCACTCCCAGAGGCCTCGGCCCCACCCAGTATTGGAATGGGGACCCAGCTGCAAAGGCTGCTCGGTGCCTCTGGGAAGGGAGAGGTGGCTGCAGGGTGGCCCGGTGTTTTGCGAGGTCACCGCAGCCCTGGGCCTCCCTTCTTTCTGTTCCTAAAACCTCTGACCAGAAAGCTCTGCCTCGTTCTTAGCATGTCACCTGCCCCCATGCCCCCAGCGGAGTGGAGGGAGAAGTTGGCTTGGTCCTATAGGGTCAACCACCTTGAAAGTGTTCCATCTGAGAAGAGGATGGCTCTGAGCGTCTCAGATAAAGTCACAGTGGCTCGGAACCTTAGGGACCACCCAGCACAGCTGGGGAAACAGCGGCATGGGAAGAGGAAACAGCCCTGTGTGTTACAGTAGGTCATACTCTCAGATCCCTTAGCCCATGCAGGCGCTGGGCTGAGAACTTGGCACTAGTTGACTATGAACTTGAAGCCTGCAGCAGCGGATGAGGTGGGTCCTGCTATTATCCCCATTTTACACGTGAGGTAACTGAGCCTAAAAGGCAGAGTCAGGACTGAGACCCATGTCTGGTCCTATCTGACGCTAAGGCTCATTACTTAGGTATAATTTTCATAAAATAAAATGTACAAATCATGTGTCCTGCTTAATGCGTTTTAAATGTATTATATTTTTATTGATTTCAGAGCGGAAGGGAGAGGGAGAGAGCGGAAAAAAAAATCAGTCATAAGGAAGAATCATTGATCAGCTGATCCGGGGATCAGAAGCCCTGGATCAGCCCAGCCTGGGTGTTTCATGACTCCATTATACTAGCTGCCCAGACAGAAGGCCGGCCTTGCAGTGCCTGAGCGGGGCCGTGTCCGGCCCCCAACCACGTGACACCTGTCTCAGATGGTGAGAGCTTGGCCAAGAGGCCACATTGGAGGATGTGACCCAGGACCTGGGGCCAGGCTCTCTCTGAGAAGTGGCTGAAACTCAGCTGCGCTTAGTAACCCTGCCAGAGGGGCCCTCACCACCCAGGCGGGAAGGAAAGGGCCTTGAGGTGACCACCCAGAGCCCAGATAGAGGGAGAAGGTTCCAGGTCTGAGAATGGAGGGCCTGGGACTCAGGCTCACAGCCCCACTCACCAAGGGGCCAGGGTTCTGGCCGCACCAGCCAGGGGTCTGCATGGGACCTGGCCAGGGCCGGGTAGGGTGGCCCAGATGTGGAAGATCCTGGCTGATTCAGCAAGACCAGGAGCGAGGGCTGTGAGTCAGGGCTCGCTCGCCTTTGTTTGCTGCAGGTGGGAAGCGGCCTGCGCTCTACCCAGCGGGTGTCAGCACCAGGGAGAGAGCCAGGGAGTGCTGCAGGTGCCCAAAGCCCTGGTGAACCCCGAGATGCACCGACCCCTGACCTGGCCCGGCCCTTCTGCCCCAAACTGATGGCTCAGCTCTCCCTCAGGTAGGGTTTGATTCAGCCCAAACCAGGAGCTCTGGCTCACTCAATAGAGGATCAGAACTGACAAAAAGGTGATTAATGGAACCTGCCAGGCCCGAGTGATGATCTCCCCGGGGCTGCTGAGCAGGTTCTGGAGGAACAATACCTCAGATCCCGCAAAGCCCAGCAGCACACACATGCCCCCTTGCCTGACCAGGCCACCGCCCTCCACACCCCTCCCCTCCCCAGTGGGACTTGACACAGGAATGCGGACCTCTGACCCACAGGGAGCAGCTGAGCCCTCTGGGGGAAACCGGGCGGAGGTCCCGCTTCTAACAGCCCAGGACGGAGTCCGGGCTGAGGCACCGTTCGCTGGTCTTGAGCTCTTGGTTTTGCTTTCTGGTGAAACCACACCTGTTCAGCCGCCTGCCCAGGACTCTTCCAGGAAAGGAGAGAGAAAGCTGGTACATGAGCACCCCCTGCACATAAGGCTGCACTGAACCCGCTGAGTCCGTACAACGACCAAAGAGGCTGCTTATGGGCCCATTTTATAGATGAGGCCGCTGAGGTCCAGGGAGACCAAGCCACTTGGCCAAGGTCACCATGAAGTCAAGATTTAAACTTGGCCTCTGGCTCTCTCCACCCCACCTGATGTCGTAGGACTCACGGAGTTCTGTGAACTCCGTGAATGACCTCTGGGTATTTCATTCTATATGTGTTTAAAGATAATAAAATAACACTAGTTAACATTTCTTGAATGCTGTGTTAAACTCTACATGCATGACTGCAAAACAACTTGACTATGGGATGTGGGGGCAGCCAGGGAAAGGTCAATGGTGGGGAGGAGACTTATGTAATACTTTAAATAATAAAGCATTTAAATTTTAAAAATAAATAAATAAATAAATATATAAATGTAACACAGACCAAAAAAAAAATAAAAAAAAGCAACTTGCCTGTTTTTATCATACCCTTTTTTCAGATGAGGAAACTGAGGCCCGTGGAGGTTCAATGCATTGTCCAAACTCAATTGTGTCAGAGTCAAGATTGAAACCTCTGGTTGCAGGGCCTGTGTGCACTTAAACCACTGCCTGGTAAGCCCCTTTCAGGCCAGTATTAGTGCCATCCTTTCCAAACAAGGGTGTCCTCTGTTGACGTCTCCATTCTCAGGTCCCCGTCCCCGCAGGCCCAGCTGGCGGGCGGTCCTGCTCCCCACAGTGGCAAAGCCGGTGCAGCTAATGCCAGAGGGGTCAGCTGTCTAGCGCTGTCTGCTGCTGTGGGGTGAGAAGGATGGAAAACAGGGGTGGTATCCAGTGGGGTCACCCCAGCTGTACATCTCATGGGAAAGTTGCCAGCTTCTTTTTTCTTTATTTTTTTTTTATTGTATAGCTTTTGATTTGATTTTATTTTAATATTTTAATTGATTTTTAGAGAGAGAGGAAGGGAGATAGATGGACAGAAACATGGATGAGAGAGAAACTTTGATGAGAGAGAAACATCATCGATTGGCTGCTTCCTGCACATCCCCCACGGGGGATTGAGCCTGTAACTTGGGCAGGTGCCCTGCCGGAAATGGAACTGATGGCCTTCTGGTTCCTGGGTTGATGTTCTACTGCTGATCCTCACCGGCTGGGCAACTACCTCCAGCTTCTCATTTCCTCTGTGCTGCCAGCTGCCCACGGAGGGCCAGGTGAGCTCCAGGTGGGCACGCACCCAAGCTACTATCAAACAGCTAGAGCCGGGTCTGAGCCAGGAAAGCAAAGGAGAAGCCAGGCCATGCGTTAGGTCAGGATCTTCTTAGCGCCCCCTCTGAGGACACAACCGGCCCAGAGTAGACATGGCCCCGCTGTCCCAGGTCCCACAGTCTGCTTCCCCTGAGTCCCAGCTCACAGAGACCTCCCAAACCATCGAGTCCAGCCAGACTCCTCAATTTAAAGATGGGGACCCAGAGGCCCGGAGAGGGACAAGGACCAGCGAAGTCCTCAGGGGGACAGTGGCAGGCACATCACACACCTGCTCTAGGTAGCCCACCCTGAGCAAAGGCCACACCCAGGCCCTAATCCCACATCCCTGTGCCTGCAGCTCACATTGGCTGGAGGCCAAGCCCAACCTCAACCCAGGGGCAGGCAGGAGGCGGGTCCTCTCGACAGAGACTATTTAAGGGCTGGGCCTGCCAGGAGCTACCCCTGGGCGTGTGCAGCTCACTCCAGGGTCAGGCAGGGGCCAGGGCTTGGCAAGTCCCAGGGCCTCCCTGATGGCCCTCCTGGAGCCCCAGCAGAACAGGACCCGGTGCTACAGGGAAAGAGAGAGAGACAGCCTCCCTCCCCCTCCAGCAGCTCGGGGGCCAGGCCCCACCTGCCTCTCTGCAGCTTCTAAGAGGCCATTACTCTTACAGAGTAAAGGCTGAGAACTCCTTGGCTGACTGCTTAGGGCCCAAGACGTCTCCACAGAGGCCAGAGGTGGTGAGGCAGGAGCAGCCAGGCCGCTGGGTCTGAGAGTCTCAGACCAGGAAGGCGCCTGGCTGTCCCAGGAGGCCGGGACCTGGCCCCCGGCACCGTGGGCCTTTGCATAAGCCTAACCACAGCGTGAGAGACTGAGCTTGGGGGGGGGGGACATCTTTCTGGCCACAGCGGCCGTAGGAGGCTCAACCCGGCCGCCCAGAGGTTAAGAAGTGGGTTTCCGATGGGCACATCCCGGTAAGAAAAGTGTGTCCTCCGTCTGTCACCCTTGTGTCACCAGGGTCTGGAATCAGAGGCAATTCCAGACTCAGTTTCCCTATCTCCCAGCCCGAGACTTTGCTCCGGTTTCTAACTTCCCTGGGCCTCGGGTTCCGTTCCTGGAAACAGACGCTGCGGGCGGACCCCGCTTTTGCAAAGCTGCTGGGAGAGGAGATGCCATCCGTGGAGCGCCTGGCCCGGCGTAGGCGCTTCATAAACTGTGTCTCCTTCCTCCAGCCCCAGGGGAAGGGGGTACTCAGGAGGCACGTTCTAGATTACATCTCCCCCAGAGAGCACAGCAGCCAGCTCTCTCCACCCAGAGCTGCCCGGCAAGGGCTTCCATGCAGCGAGACCCAGGGGCCCCCTCTCAGAGAGCTTGGCTCTCCCCCAAAATGATTTGATTCTCAGGATTACAGGGTTGAAAACCCCCCCCCGCCCCCCCTCACACACACATCTTCTCTTCCCAGCGGGCTAAGAAACCAGTTCTCCCTCTCCCCACTGACCCAGCCCAGCCACGGCACCCAGAGGTCTCCACTTCCTCATTCCCTGCCCTCT